GAAGGAGAAAAGAGAAGAAAAGAAGAAAGAAAGAAGAGAGAAAAAGAAAGAAGAAGGAAGGAAAAGAGAAGAGAAAAGAAGAAGAAAAAGAAAAACTAATACTAGGGCACCCAGCTGGCCCAGTTGGTGGAGCACATGACTCTTGATCTCAGGGTCATGAGTTCAGGCCTCACGCTGGGCATAAAGCTTCCTTAAATAAAAATACAATTTAAAGAAAAATTAATACTGATCCTTCTCAAACCCTTGGAATCTCCTTTTTCAAGGCCAGTATTACCATGATAACAAAACCAGACAAGGAGGCCACAAGAAAACTACAGACCAATATCCCTGATAAACATAGATGCAAAAGTCCTCAACAAAATATTCACAAGCTGACTTGAACAGTACATTAAAAGGCTCATACACCATGATCAAATGGGATTTATTCCAGGAATGCAAGGATGGCTGAACTTCCATAAAGCAAGCAACATCATACACCACAGTAACAAAGTGAAGGATAAGAATCATATGATCATCGCAATAGATGCAGAAAAAGCATTTGACAAAATTCAACATCCATTTATGATATTTAAAAAAAGGTCAATAAAGTATAGAGACCATGTACTTCAACATAAAAAGGCTATATATGACAAGCCCATAGCTAACATCATTAATGGTAAAAAGCAGAAAGCTTTTCCTCTAAGATCAGAAACAAGACAAGGATGCCCACTCTCACCACTTTTATTCAATATAATATTAGAATCCTAGCCAGAGCAATTAGGCTAGAAAAGGAAATAAAACACATCCAAATTGGAAAGAAAGAAGTAAAACCGTCACTATTTATAGATGACATGATACTATATATAAGAAATAAACACTACCAAAAAACTATTAGAACAAATAAATTTAAACAAGTTACAGGATACAAAATCAATACACAAAACTCTGTTGTGTTTCTATATACTAATGAATAATCAGAAGAGAAATTAAGAAAATCCCATTTATAATTACATCAAAAAGAATAAAATACCTAGGAATAAATCTAACCAAGGAGATGAAAGACCTCTACACTGAAAACTAGGACGCTGATGAAAGAAATTGAAGAAGACAAAAATAAATGGAAAAATAGTCTGTGTTCATGAATTGGAAGAATTAATATTGTTAAAATGTCCATACTACCCAAAGCAACGTACAGATTGGATACAATCTGTATCAAAATTCCAATGGTATTTTTCACAGAAATAGAACAAACAATTGTAAAATTTGTATGGAACCACAAAGACCCCAAATAGCCAAGGCAATCTTGAGAAAGAAGAACAAAGCTGGAGGCATCACATTGTCTTATTTCAAACTATATTACAAAGCTATACTGATCAAAACAGTACAGTATTGCATAAAAACAGACTATAGAGGGGCGCCTGGGTGGCTCAGTCATTAAACAGCTGCCTTCAGCTCAGGTCATGATCCCAGGGTCCTGGGATCGAGCCCCGCATCGGGCTCCCTGCTTGGCAGAGAGCCTGCTTCTCCCTCTCCCTCTGTCTGCTGCTCTGCCTACTTGTGCTCTGTGTTAAACAAATAAATAAAAATCTTTAAAAAAAAAAGACTATAGATCAATGGAACAGAATAGAGAGCCCAGAATAAACCCAATTTATGACACAGAGCCAGAAATATACAATGGGGAGAAGACAGTCTCTTTAGTAAGTAGCACTGGGAAAATTGAATAGCCATATCAAAAGAATGAAACTGGATCACTGTTTTACACCATACACAAAAATTAACTCAGATTTGAACATAAGCCCCGAAACCACAAAACTCCTAGAAGAAAACAACAAAGGTAATAAGCAACTTGAGACTGCATTTGGTGTCAAATCCACACAAAAAATCACCAAAATCAAAGGCAACAAAACCAAAATTAAGTAGGACTACATCAAACCAAAGAACTGCACAGCAAAGGAAACCAACAAAATTAAAAGGCAACCTATTGAATGGGAAAAAATATTTACAAAGATAATTCTGATAAGGTGTTAATATCCAAAATATAAAAGGACTCCTATAACTCAATAGCAAAACAAACAAAAATCCCCCAACCATCTAATCAATATGAGCAAGGGATCTGAATAGACATTTTTCCAAAGACCTACAGATAGCCAATAGGTACATGAAAAGGTGCTTAATGTTACTAATCATCAGAGAAATGCAAATCAGAATCACAATGAGATATTACCTCACACTTGTTAAATGGCTATTTTTCAAAAAGACAAATAGCAAGTGTTGGTGAGGATATGGGGAAAAGGGAATCCTTGTGCACTATTGGTAGGAATGTAAATTGGTACAGCCACTATGGAACAGTATGGAATTTAAAACTAGAACTGCCATATGATTTAGCAATTCCACTTCTGGGTAAGTATCTGAAGAAAATAAAAACACCAACCTCAGAAAATATATATATGCACCCCCACATTCATTGCAGCATTACTTAAAATAAGATTTGGAAGCACTGATGGATGAATGGATAAAGAAAATGTGGTGTGTGTATACAGTGGAATATTATTCAGCCATGAAAAAGGAAGGAAAGAAGGAAATCTTGTCATTTGTGACATATGGACAGACTCTGAGGACATGCTAAGTGAAAAAGGTCAGGGAATGACAAATACCATATGATGTCACTTATATGTAGAATCTTTAAATAAACAAAAAGCTTATAGAGGACTCTGAGAAACAAACAGAATTCTAGAGGGGAGGGGGTGGGGGATGGGCTAGCCTGGTGATGGGTATTAAGGAGGGCACGTTCTGCATGGAGCACTGGGTGTTATACACAAACAATCATGGAACACTACATCAAAAACTAATGATGTAATGTATGGTGATTAACATAACAAAATAAAAAAAAAAAGCTCATAGATACAGAGAACAGATTGAGGGTTTCCAGAAGGAGGAGGCAAGTGGGGGGGTTGGGAAAGATGGAAATGAATGAATGTGGTTAAAAGTACAAACTTCCAGCTATTAAAAAAGTGAATCATGAGCATGTAATGTACAGCATGATGTCTATCGTTAATAATACTGTATTGTATATTTGAAAGTTGCTAAAAATAAATGTTAAAAATTCTCATAAGAAAAAAATTTGTAAGAAAGAAAAATTTATAACTATGTATTAACTAGACATACTGTGATCATTTTACAATGTATACAAATATGGAATTGTGGTACACCTAAAACTAATATGATGTAAATTTTATCTCTTTTTAAAAGTTAGGCACTATAAAGCTGGTAACTGGTGTTACTATTTAGAAAGCTGCAGACAGGACTCAAGGAGAGGCCATTTTCTGTTCCAGCATTTTCCCCAGGTTCTAAAGAGAGAAGACTGTTTTTATAAGAGGGAAAGGTCAACTCAGAAGGGCGGAGGATTGGGCGCCTGGGTGGCTCAGTTGGTTAAGCGACTGCCTTCGGCTCAGGTCATGATCCTGGAGTCCCAGGATCGAGTCCCACATCGGGCTCCCGGCTCAGCAGGGAGCCTGCTTCTCCCTCTGACCCTCCCCCCTCTCATGTGCTCTCTCTCTCTCTCAAATAAATAAAATCTTTAAAAAATATATATATATTGGAAAAAAAAGAAGGGCAGAGGATTAGCAGGAACACTATTGGAAGTGCTTTACAATGAAAGAGCTGATCTGACCTCTGCAGTGACCAACATGTAAATGAGATATCAATTCAGAGAGATGCAAGAGGGCATTGTTGGTTCAGAAATTGACTAGATATTTTCAGCTGCACTTAAAGATTCCACTACCCCCAAGCTTCCAGTTCAGAAACAGCAAATCTCATGTTATGGGTCAACTCCCAACGGCTCCCTATGTGCAAGGTTGCAGAGAATTTGAACCTCTGTCCAGGTTTCAAGGAGCAGGGGACTGTGAGGCATTCATGATGTCAGACATATACTGCATATTTCATATCACTTCTGAACTAGCCTATTGATAGAAATATTTCAATAAGTAATATGGTATGTGAAGAAAAGGCCCTTCACATGCTGGAAAATTCTGGCCAGTGGGTTAGCCCCTGACAGAATGACTCTATTTAAAAACTCTAGTACACTGATGTTAACATCAGGGGGGAAAGGTTCTCTAGTGGTGTTCCACAGGCCTCTATCTTATGTCCTGTCCCAGCCAAAACTTTTATCCATGACTTAGAACAAGAGCATATATTCATCAGCATGTAGAGCTAAGAGAGGGATCCTCTATGATTAATTTTTAAAAAACTGAAGATCTGCTTGGCTTCTGTTTCTCTGTGGTGCTCGGGAGGAACCATGAATGCATCCTGAACTCAACACTTCTAATAACATCACCAGGAAGGGAAGTTGTGGGGAAAAGGATCCTGGGCTGATGGGCCAGGTCTTGCCTTTCCTTGAAGGAGCTGAAAGCCTACACAGAGTGGCTACCTTCTGATACCGCAGCCTCTCTGGCATGGTGAATTATGGATGGCAGTGGTAGAGGAGTGGCAGGGCGGGGTCCACTGGTAGGTAGTGATAACTTCATGGCCATGCCCCTACGAGGGCCATCTCAGGATCAGGGTAGAGGCTGTGTTGCCTGGGCCCAGCATCCTAGTGCATCAGGATGCTCTCCACAGTCTCCGTGCCCAAATGGCCACAAAGTGGCCAATGAGTTTATAAAGAGGACCGGAAGTACCGAAACACTAGGGGAGAGAACAGTTGCCCAATGAAAGCCACTGCCACGCAGCAGTGTCAAGGCTCAAGCGTGAACCGCAGGCTGTGTTTGAGGAGAAGCCTTCCTGTGCTGCTGAGGGTGTGTGCCCGCTGACAGCCCTCCCCGGAGGAGGAGAGAGACATGCTCTCTGAGAGAACAGAGGAGGCTGGTGTCACACGAGTCTGACTTTTCACGGCAGTCATAAAAGCTTCCTCAGCCTTCCACTGACCCTCCCTATACTGCTGAAAGGGAGGAAACCGCAGGTACCAAATCTTCCACAGTAGTAAGCAAAGCAATTTCAGAGCAGCAACAGCATTCCTTTTTCCATACCTGCTAGGGCACTGACCAAGAAGTAGGCTGTAGAAAAGAGCTGCTGGTTGCTGAGTGTATCCGCCAGGCCTGGACACCCGCCCTGTACTCCGTATCCCACCAAACATAGGAAAGCCATGACGTCCTGCTGCTGTGGGGGCTTCAGCTCCCCCAGTATTGCCAGTGGGGGCGACAGGCCGCTCACCACATCCTCACACTGCAGGGAGAGGAGAAAAGAGACAGACGTAGTAAAGCCAGAGGCCAAGCTGAGCCTCTGCCCCACGACATGCAACCGCTTACCCTTCCACTATCTCACAAGAAAAGCAAAACCCTGCATTCTTTTCTGTTTTGAAATCACTAATCTCTCATAAGGAGAGAGTAAACAGCCTTGCCAGGTACTATTCTCTCAAAGAGAGGGGAGGACGGATGCAGGGAACTATGGATAGAACCTTCCAGGACAAGGCAAGGTCTGTCAGGTTGTACCAGGGACCAGGAATAGGTGACTACATGCAGAACTAAGGAAGGGAACATAAAGCATTGTCCCATCATGGTTCTCCAGCTTTTAACTTAGCACACCAGCCCCCAGCCACATTCCCAGCTGGGCCCAAGGCAGCCTCAGCCATCTACATTGGGCCTGCTGGGAGGTGGGTGGCCCTGCCAGTGAAGGCCACCTCAGCCAGCTCAGGACCACCTAGTGAGCTCGTCTCCATTGTAACCTCCACATCAGATGCATTCATAAACGAGCCCACCAGCCCACACCACCTGAGCAGCTTGCTCCTGCACCTGACAGGGCAGTTGATGTTCTTTCCAAAGGGGACTGGTCTGAGATTTCCCTCTTGGAAGGAGCTATTTTAGGAAGTATAAATCAGTGGGCTTTTTGAAACATTTGTATTCTCCCTGGGGCTAGCACACCCTTCTGTGAGCTTCACATCCTCCAGAACACCCCAGATCTCCTGGACTGTTGGGACTATTTCAACAATTGCAGGTTCCATCACTGGTAGCTAAACTCTTTTGGCACAATCCAATTGCAAGAGGAAAAAATAACTGAATGCTCTCTTGGAAACCATTAAGCACTGAATCAGAAAATCAGAGTTCAACAACTCTGAATAATAGAATAACAAAAAAAACAAAATAAAACAAAAAGCTATCATATAAATCATCTTAATAGTGCCCCAGCCCCCTTAACAAAGGAGAGTACAAAGTCTGGCAGGTTGGCAGCTGGTGTGTCCTTCACCATTTGTACATATAACAGTTAAGGAATTCAGCCTTCCCAGAAAATCCTTCTGCTACAAAACAGAAAAATATAAAGGCCTGCTTTTTAACCTATTCTAAATAGATTAAGTTGACTTATTGGACTCTACCACACAGCCCCCTTGTAGTGGGGTGGAATCATGGCCCCTCAAATATATGTTCACCTGGAACTTCAGAGTATGACCTTATTTGGAGTAAGAGAAAGAGTCTGCAGATATAATTGAGGTAAGGATCTCAAGATGAGATGCTCCTAGACTGGAGTGGGCCCCTATATCCAATGGTGAGTGTCCTTTAAGAGAAAAGGGGAGGACACTGACACAGAGGACAGAGGCATGGGGAGACAGAGACTGGAGCAGTGTGGCCACAAGCCAAGGAGCATCAGGAGCCACCAGAAGCTGGAAGAGGCAGGGAAGAGTTCTCCACCCCCCACCCCACCCCCGAGCCTGTGGGGGAAGCAGGGCCCTGCTGACATCTCAGCTCCAGACTTCTGGCCTCCAGAACGAACTCTAAGAGAATAAATTTCTGTTGTTCGAAGCCACAGAGTTTGTAGTAACTTGTTACAACAGCCCTTAGGGAACCAATCTACCCTTCAATTCCTGACATCAGCCACCTTTCTTCGGTTAGAACACTAAGGACCTGGGAGTAAGAAAAAAAGAAGCTTGAAGGTTTAAAGGAGGTGGGGACATTTCAAATACAATCTTATCCCAGCTCACGGCTTTATCCCAAGAGGTCTAGCCTGCCCACATCTCCCGGAAACCCAGGTGGAAACAGTCTCGAGAGGTCTCTGGTCTTACCACTTGCTCCAGGGCCATAAGTGACTCTTCGTCAGACAGGACCGCCTGGAAGACATTGTTCAGTGCTGTCTGCTGCTGTTCCGGCAGCCCCGCAAAGGGATGGAAGTTCCTCTCCAAGAGCAGAGTGGCTGTGAAGGCACAGAGTGCGCCCCGCGTCAGGACCGCCGTGCACGCCTCCAGACGGGGGACTCCCCTGAGCAGGGCCAGTCGTGGACCTCAAGTCAGGCCTCGAGCTGGCTACCGCCCTGCGCGTTTTCAACAACCAGAAACAAGGGGGACGAAAAGAGACAAGCGAGAGGGCTGCCCAGATCTGCTTCCGACTTCACTCTTTTGTTCTGATGACTCACTAAACATTATGTCTATTTTCTGGAGAAGTCTGATCAATTATTTAGACCCCTCTTTAGCATGATTTCTAGAGAAGTAAGTTATCCAGGCTGAATTACTAACCAGTCAGTGCTTTTACAGGGCTCCACAGCCATGGAAATCCAAAGGCCATTATTTTCCATGTTCTTTCTTCTAACACCATGCAGTTTTTTTATCCTTTAATATTTAATGCTTGCTTCTCAAAGTCTGACACCCTGTTTTCATGGCAAACACAGCCATTCCACTTTTCCCACTCATTATTCTTCACCCATCCTGGAGAACAGGCACACAGGCCCATCTGGCTAGGTTATGCACATCCTCTGCAGGATGCTTGAGACTCTCTCCTTAAATCTTTTTTTTTTTTTTAAGACACTGAAACACTTCTAGTAAATTAAGCCCAGTGGGGATTTAAAAGCAAGATTTGATAAACCACAGCTTTCATATGCAGGGATGCATACTAATACATAATGTACTACACGTCTGCTGATGGTAAATTCCATCACACAGCTGTCAGCCCCATGGAGAGAACAGGTCACATCAGTCCCTGACATACTCAAAAACTTCCCTATGAACACAGATGGGTCTTTGCCACGCCAGCCTAGAGAGAAGAGCTTTCCTGGTTGGTCTGGAGTCTGAGGGCACAAAGGCCAGGCTGCCCCCCATCCTACTCCTGTTTCACAGGCCCAGCCATCCCATTCCACCCCAGGCTGACTAGAATGGCCAACGGACAGGGTGGACTGGTGGAGAGGAAATTATAAGGAAGCTGCAGCCCACGACCTGTCTCGTCACTTCCCTGTAGCACAGTTCAAGGCTGCGGGGCCGCTCTGCTGTGGTTCTAACCCATAGCAGTGCTGAAACGGCAGCTGGAAGTCACACCCAATCATCCATCTCAAGGAAGCAGAGAATGGGGACGCCCCATCCTAAGATTGGGCCTTCCTTGCCATTTCTTCCAACATTGGCAATTTTGCTACAGAAACAGAAGCATCTTCTGGTTTGGGACTCACCAAAGCCCCACAGGTAAGAATCTTCTTATCCTCCCAGCCAGACCATATTCTGAGCTGCTCCTAGCTCTTTTTACCAAGCTCTTTCCTGATTGTGCTTGCCTGTTTCCTCTCCTGACATATACTGCGCTCCCCCACCCCCCCATACCCCCACGAGAAAAGCCAATTTTTTAAAACACAACATGCTACGGAGAATAAAAGGAGCTGCTGCAGGCACGTCCCAGGTACTCCCCTCCTCCTCACCGGATGCCATGGCACTGCAGTGCTTCCAGCCATGTGGACAGAGAGCCCCCAAGAGAGCATTTCAAAATGCTGACAAAGCCTTGCCTGTGTTGGCAGTGAAGGCTGGAATATCACGAAACAGATGCAAATTTGGGGTTCCCTCTCTTTGTTGCTGACTAGCTATTTTTAATGCAAGCCTTCTATGGTTAAAATGAAAGAAAATGCCCTCTCAGTCCTCAGTCTTCCACCCCTTCCTCAAAACATGGCACCTAAGACCTGAGGTTCCCTAAGATCCCACTGAGGTGCATCCTGCTGAGTGGACTACGTCCAACTTGGAGGCACTGTCCTCTCTGTTCTCCATTAAGTCTCTAAGGAGTCCTCGATCATGAAGGCCAGCCACATCACCTCTTGCAGCGCAGGGCAAGTAGCCATCAGCTCACCACACCCCACCCTGCTGGCAATACCTTGTTTTAAAACACTCAACGGCCAATCCAGGGCAGATGGTCCCTGCCCAGCATCTGGCATGTCCCCAGATGCAAACTCTTGAAAGGGCAGAGGGTCCATGAAGACAGAGCCACTTCTCTCGAGCTCAAAGCCACCATGCTTCCCTTGTAGGAGGCAGAATTCTGTAATGTGGGAGAAAAGGACAAGCCAGGCACAGGGTTAGCCAGGCCTTGTTAGCACACATCAGACCCAGCTTTACCTAATGGGGAAGGGGGGTAGAGGACACATGCACTCTGATCCCATAAACCCACTTCCTACACGTTAGGCTATTTGATGAAAACTCAGCCTCTTCCTATGGTTACAGGAGAAATGGCTGTTCTCGTCTCCAGTGTGTCCTCTCTGAAGAGGTAGGAAGCAGTCTTTCAAACGGAAGTATTTCCTTAGCCTAATTTGAACAGTTAAATAACAAAATTCAACTAAGTAAATTTTAAAGTGACACCATTTGGGGCCTGTGGTTTTGTTCTTAACAAAACCAAATCTTACACAACTCATCATGTATGAAACAAAAAATTTAAATGTGATTAATAAATTTGATTTGATTGAACTGATAATATTAAAGTATTATAATATATTTAAGTATACAAGTGGTGTGTAGTTGTATTTTTAAAGTCTTAACTTTTCATTAGTAAATAATACAGAATAAAAAATGAACTTCTGCAATTGTATGAATGAATCTTACAAACACGTTGAGTGGAAGAAAACAGACAAATGAATACATTCTTCATGAATCTATATGAAGGCAAAACTAGTCTTTTTAAAACAGCTTATCTGTTTAGATATACTGACATATTTATAGACAGAACAATATGTCTAGGATTTGTTTCAAAATAATTGTACTCAATGAGTACAGTGCCTGACACTGAAGAGAATGACAGAATTGGCAGCGTCTTCAGGGGCCCATGCATGTGTATGGGCAAGAGTGGAGCTGGTGCCAGAGATTCCTAAAATACCAGTTGGCGGTATGAGTGAGGTGGTAAAGTTACAGATGAAACATGAATCACCCTAGTTATTAAAGCTGGATGGCAGGTACATAGGAGTTCATTGTATTATTATCTCTACTTTTGAACATGTATGAAATTTTCCATAATAAAGTTTTTTTAAATAAAAAATGTTTCCTTAAATACTTCCATAGTTAAGAACCCAACTAAGGTAACAGCTATTATGTAATAATAATGTCCTTAATAAGCCAAAACAGTAAGTGAACTTGTGAATTAGGGTTCTTTTTAAAAAGCTTCTAATTGGGGCGCCTGGGTGGCTCAGTCATCAAGTGTCTGCCTTTGGCTCAGGTCATGATCCCAGGGTCCTGGGATGGAGCCCTGCATCGGGCTCCCTGCTTGGCGGGAAGCCTGCCTCTCCCTCTCCCTCTGTTTGTGTTCCCTCTCTCGCTGTCTCTCTCTCTGTCAAATAAATAAAATCTTTAGAAAATAATAATAAAATGCTTCTAACTAATAATTTGTGTAGTTAAGCACAGACTATGGAATAAAAATGTGGAAGGCATGAGGATTAGCACATATTTTTATTTGTGAGCACAAATGATATAAAAGATCAAATAGCTGTCTAAAGACGAAGGAAGGGCGCCTGGGTAGCTCAGTTGGTTAAGCGACTGCCTTCGGCTCAGGTCATGATCCTGGAGTCCCGGGATCAAGTCCCGCATCGGGCTCCCTGCTCGGCGGGGAGTCTGCTTCTCCCTCTGACCCTCCTCCCTCTCATGCTGTCTCTCATTCTCTCTCTCTCAAATAAATAAAATCTTTAAAAAAAAAAAAAAAGAAGGAAATAGTCCATTTACTCACTCATGACCCACGCTCACTGGGCATCCACAACAGCCCTGGCTCACTTTGCCCTTTGCACCAGGGACTGAGGCAGATGAGTGTGAACCAGCCCTCAGTTGATAACTTTGCTCTAGGACAGCCACCATGACTATTAACATCGTCTCAAATCCTGCCAAGAGCTGGGCAGGGCCGCCAACTGGTATTTTAGGAATCTCTGGCACCAGCTCCACTCTTGCCCATACACATGCATGGGCCCCTGAAGACGCTGCCAATTCTGTCATTCTCTTCAGTGTCAGGCACTGTGCTAGGAGCCAGTGACACAAAGTGACTACAGTCCAGGCCTCGACAAGTATGTTACGAGTGGGGACAGAGGTAACATAGGTGGTGTGGGAGGAGGTAGACAGGTCCCTGAAGCCAGAGCGAGAACTAGAAAACGTTTCTTGGATGAAGCAGTGTCTAAGGAACCCCCTAAAGTTTCGGTAGGAATTAGGCAAAGAGGCAGAGAGCACGCAGGCCATCATGGAACTCAGGGATAAGAGGTGACAGGACTGTCCCCAGGCGGGGTTAACTGGCGACAGCTGCAGCAGTTGGAGGTTAGGAGGAAGGCCGGACAAATCTTGGGGCTGGGTCACAACGCACCTGAAGTGCCGACTTTCTCTTGGGACAAAAGGAGTCTCAGAAGGGTGTTTAAGCAGATGTGTGAAGTGACCAAATTTTTATTTTTAAAGAATCACATCAGCTATACTGCTAGGATGGAACAGATGGGCAAAGGTTCAGAGAAGCAGGCGAGCCAATTAAGAGTGTGCAGCGGGACCCAGTAGGGAGATGCTTTCAGGGCCAATAGACCAGCCGAGAAGGGCACAGGCCCAGGCAGGGTGGGAAGCACAGGCTCCTGTCCACAGGACATCCGATCAGAAGGACACGCTGGAAGGACACTGGCGTAATGCCTGATTATACAAAGCACACGGCGAAAGTGCAAGACCATAAAGTGATGTTTCTGATTGGCTGTAAGAAGGAGCTGTTGGTGAAGGAAGGGGTCATGGCTGAGAGAATCTCTGGGTGAGGACAGGCCGCACAGGTGCCTCCCCCAAGGGACACAGGGAGTCAGCCTCTGCTTAAAGTTTCAGAGGACAAACAGGATTGTTGTCACGTGTATTCCCTCCCAGAAGGTGGGAGGAGACATCGGGCAGCCTCTTAAGGGCCCTTCTGGCCCCTGCAGGTCTGTTTATGAAGCCAGATCAGAATATTCTGTGGCAAGAGCAACAGAAAACACAGAAGGGAAAATGGGAAAAAAGCAGAACTGGCTTAAGAATCAGGCAGTGAGTCACATGCAATGTCAGCCCGGCCACCAGGCTGCACAGGCATGACAGTCAGCAGTAGGAAAGAGCAATGGAGCGGGGCTTCCTAGGCCAGGGCGTGGGAAGGGAGCCAGAAGAACCTCCAGAATTCCCCCTGGGCACCTCTTCTCCACAGCACAAAGAGGAATTTATTTTCAAAGACAGCAGAAGCCAGCCAAGATAAAAGGCTTGAAATTGAAATGCAAACAGGAGCCACACCACACAAGGCTATGTCTTTCCAACCCCGTCTGAGAAAAGAGAGGCTCCCCATGGGAGTGACAGGTGCCCCCGACAGGGCTGCAAGCAGAGCAGGACGCGGCCACCTCCTCGGAGAGACAGGGAGGGGTTCCCCGCAGGGACCACAGCCTTGAGTGGCAGCCCCAGGCTGGTCCCCAGCCACCAAAGGTCCTCAGAGCACTCCTGGGCAGCCTCGGGTACAGGCCACGCTTTCAAGAGGCTTATAAAAGTGTGGACAGCATAACCAGGCCTAAACATCTTAGTCTGGAGTCATGTACATGCATGTGGTAACATGCTGATAACAAAAACAGGAGGGACAACTGAATCCTCTTAATAATCCTCTTAATAATCCTCACAGAAGTCTTCCAAAGAGCCAGACTAAAATAATGCCGACGACACAAATTTGGAACCGTGGCCTAAAGCCTGTAGGTCATGATTCTTGATATTCCTGGCATTTCATGTGCCCCTGACCAACCTCTCCAGACCAGCTTCTTCAAACTGACAGCCTCACTCTTCGTCACCTCCATGAAAGGCAGGCTGCTCCACGTGCGAAAAGAAAGAGGGAGTCTCTGCCACGGCATCCCATGCCTCACATGGCCCAGGAGCTTGTGACTGTCCCGTGGGGACGGTCCATGTTCTGAGCATCTGTAGTTGTGGCTCTATGGCATGGTGACCCCACGTAGGCCAAGTGCACACAAAAGGCTGACTCCTGGACAACTTTCTCCTCCCAAACCTCGCAGAGAACAAACGGGGGGAAGCAGGAGACCACAATAGATATGTGCATGGTCTATTATGGCACCCCTTTTAAAACCTTCTCATTATGGAAAAGGTGAAATGGCCCAAGAATAGAGCAGTATAATGAACCTCCTCCACATACCCACTGACCAGCACCGATGATCGCTCTTTGCCTCTCCGGACCCCATGCGCACACACCTTACACTCCACCCAGATCATTTTTGAAGCAAACCACAGACGTGTTACCATTTCATCTGTGAAGACTTCAGTATAAATCTCTAAAAATGAGGACTCTTTTTTATAACCATAACTAGGACATCACCATGCCTTAACAAGTCAATCATGTTACATTTATTCATTCCTGGCCCCCAGACGTGGTCAAACAGTTTTCTTGGGCTCAACACAACCTCTTCCCAGGAGGGGCCGTAAGCATCTAAGATCCGCAGACACGAGCAAAGCGAAAGCCTGTATTTTCTTCAAATGAGGCGATGACCAGGATCTCCCAGCTTTGAACACTGGTGATCAGCAGAGCAAGGTCAAGTGCCATGTTTCTGGCTTCACACTGGGGGGAAGGAAGGTGCGATGCCGCTGAGGACAGTACGATTAAGAGCTGAGACGGAGTACGTAATAAACAACCACTGCGCCAGGCACTCGGTGTGCTCATCCCATTTAACCGTGACCGCAGCTCCGCGACGGAATGTCTCTCCCCCTCCAGACATGGGGAGTCAAGGCTCAGGGACACCCACAACTTGCTTGAGGCCCCACGGGATACCACGGCACCAGGGCTGAGACCTGGTCTTCTGATGGCACAGCCCACGTTGCTGACCCTGTGCCGTGCCGGTGAAAGCCCGCCCAGCCTGATGTCCTCCCAACTCAGCCCACCTGCCCCCCGTGTCCCGGGACACCCCCACCTTCCCCTCTCTTTCCTCTAATACCCAGAGGGAAGGCAGCACTCACTGAACTGGCCGTCCAGCTTCACATACAACTCGATGACGCCATAGGCGAGGGCGGTGGGAGCGGGGATCTCCAGCACCACGTTGGTGTCCTTGACAATGTTCCCATCCTCCTTTGCGGACACCTGTGAGTGAGAGTACATGATGCCACCTGTGTGCTCAGCCTCCCCCAGGCGTCTCTCTGCCTCCCCACCGCGGTCGGTCTAGGGCCTTGAACACGAGGGGCATTCGGCAAATGCCCAAAGGACGGAGTAGAAAAGAGAAGCCGGCCGGCAGACGTAAGGATTTTATCCTTGTGGGCCTCATGATGTAGTGCACACATTGGGAAGTCAATGAGCAAACTTCAGTGGGGACACAAAAGCGGGATTCCAGATGTGGGCAACAGTGAGGCTAGGTCTATGGCACTGAATACAGAAGATAAATAGGGTAACTTCTCACTTCCCTCACAAAGGATCAGGGTAACCACTTCAACATCCCGGACAATGATGAAAATCCAAACAATGTCAAAGCCGGACTGGAAGAACTTAGCTAAGAGCAAGGAGCCCCCCAAAAGGACATCATTCCAGACTCTTGTCGACAGCACATTGTGTGTTAAACAAATTCGGTGGGGGGGGGGGCAGAGGGAGGAGAGTTAAGGGTGAGAGGAGGATTGCCAGGAAATGCCAAGCAGTCAGGCCCCATAGCTCTCTCCTTCCAACACTGTTACAGATATGACCCTTTCCCATGACGGCCTAGGGAGAAGATCGTTGCCTAAACACTGGAGATCAGAGACTCCTTTTAGCAACTTGATCCCGGTCGGTGTGAGGACAGCCAGCCTCCTGATTCCCAGGCAGGCGCCAGGCCTGCGGTGGGGGGTCCACCACGGGCAGAAACACCGGCAGGGCCGGCCAAGCTGTCTCCTGTCAGGCACCTTCCTCATCACTGCCCCAGGGAGAGTCCAGCTGCAGACCGGACCTCTGTCTCCACTTCCTTCCAAATACAACTTTCCTGGGTCCTCTAGCAAAAGCCAAAAGGCACCCCGGGAAGCAAACGTCTAAGAATAGGACATCAGGCACCATGGCAAGCTGCGGAGGAAACAGTCTGGGGTTGGTAGCCTCTTGTTCCACGAAGTTCAGTACTGGCTCAGGGATCAGCGTGGTAAGACTGTCTCTATTTTAATCCAGAAGCTTCTGTTTGTGTGTATATAGACACAAACACTGCTCTTTACCTTCCCGCACTCAGTCCACAAAGGATTCGAGGCAGTTGATCTCAAAGTCATCATTCGGAGACCCCTGGCTCCGAGGGGCTCTGGCGGAGACCCGTGCACGGACGCGGTCAGAACTCCTCTGACCCATTTTCTCTGGGGAAGCACGTGACCAAGCCTGCGGGGCCCTGCTGAGGGCCCTGTAGCCCTGGCCTCGGGTCTGCTTCGGGAAAGGGTCCAACCAGGGATGGTCCAGCGAGAGCCAACCCTGCGCACCTCTCCCCCGGGGTGGCAGCGGGCGGGCCGAGAGCCGCACCGCCGGGACAGCGCCCACCTGAGGGGCCGCTACCCCCAGGGAAGGCGGCACCCACGGCTTTCCGCAATTCGGAACTTCGAACGAGCAGTGAGCCAAGCCAGACGACCCTGAACGTTTCAGGTACATGAGCCAATAAATTATTTCTCATTCAAGCCAATTTGAGGTGGATTTCTATTGGCTCACTCCAGAAGAGTCCGGACAAATGAAGACACCCCCAAAGAGGCCCCTGCCCCCTGCCTCGAGGACGGGGACCAGAGAGGCCCCCGGGCCCGCGCGCACCTGCACCGTCTTGGTCTGGATCCCCACCACGCCGCCGCACCTCTCCTCGATCTGAACGCGCTCCGATAGCACACACGGCTGTGTCGTCACTATCTTCTGTGTCAGGACACACAGGACCTCATTCTTCCTCTCCAGCACCTGCTGCAGCACGGGGTCCCTCAGATTTATCGCTCTGGAAAAGAAAACTGGCCGTAAGCGGCCTAGTGCCTCAGGGGACATTGAGCAGCATGGATTTTCTCCCCTCCCGCGGCTGAATAAACAGGTAGCCACCAGCATCGTTCACTTCCTGGCAATGACAGAGGGGGCAGTTCTTCCAGAAAGACATAAATCACACTTCCCAAGGCCACCCAGCACTTCCAGGCATCCAGAGAAAGGCTGCTGGGAGGAAAGGGTGCCCCCTATCACACAGCAACCCAAAGGGTGGGGGGCCTTGCACCCCGGGAGTGGGCTTTGTCATCTCATCACGGGAACGTGGGATTACTGCGGGGGGACGCTGACCAGTGGCTTCTCAAAGAGGAGAAAGGCACAAGCTTAACATACAAGTAGAAGGAAGAACCCAGAGTAGAATTAGAAAGGAACTTCCTAACCTCTCTGTCTGGGAAGGACGCATAATCTCTAAGAAGGACTTTAATGTCATTTTACAGATGCCGACGCTGAAGCCAGATAGACATGGCCTGCCCGGGGTCCCCCAGCAGAGACTTGGGGCTCCTGGGTGGCTATCCTGGAGAATTTCAAACACGAGCTAAATTTCCATCTACAGGAGAGGATTAGAAGTAAACAAATAACCCCTGTGGACCCCTTTGACGCTATCTGTCTACAGAACGGACAGGGAAAGAACCTAATTAGAATTGGTGTTGGCACAAGAACAACTGTAGTGTTCCTCTTGAGGTTTTGGGTTTGTTTTTTTTTTTTTTTTAAGATTTTATTTATTTGAGAGAGAGAGTGGGTGAGGAACAGAGGGAGAGGGACAAGCAGACTCCATGCTCGGTGCATAGCCTGACCCGGGACTTGATCTCATGACCCTGAGATCATGACCCGAGCCTAAATCAGGAGTTGGGTACTCAACTGACTGAGCCACCCAGACACCTCCCCGCTCTTGATCTTTTTAAATAGACCAAGGCTAGTTACCTTAAAAAACTCAGCAGCACCTCTAACCACACACAGTGGAGGGCCACCCCTGACCTGGGACAAACACAGATTTGCCAGGGTTCAGAAAGTATCCCCAGAACAGGAGTGAGTAGTTGTAAGGTCCTGTCTCTGTGTGAAAAGCTGCCAGGTGTAAACTCCATCAATAGACAGACAAAACGATGAGACATTATTCAACCATAAGAAGGAATAATGTTCTGATGCATGCCACCTCATGAGCCAACCCTGAAGACGGTATGCTAAGTCCAATAAGCCAGGCAAAAAGGACAAATATTGGATGATGCTACTTATATGAAATACGTAGACTAGGCAAATTCATAATGACAAAGTAGATTCAAGAAGGGGCTGGGGGGGGTGGTATTGGAGGAATGAGCAGTTCTTGCTTGATGGCTAGACAGTTTCTGTTTGGGGGTGACAAAAAAGTTCTAGAAATAGATGGTGGTGATGGTTGCAAGAAAGCGTGAATGTACTTAGTGCCACTGAACTTACACTTAAAAGTGGTTAAAATGACAGATTTTATGTTACATATTTTTATTACAATTTAAAAAAATAGACACATGAGTAACTGTTCAATCTCAGTTGTGTTCAAAGAAATGCAAATTATAGCAATGTTTCACACATATTAAATAAGTAATATGGGGCACCTGGCTGGCTCAGGCAGAGGACCATGAGACTCTTGACCATGGGGTCATGAGATTGAGCCCCACCTTGGGTATAGAGTTACTAAATCAATCAATCAATCAATCATGGGTTTATAAAAATAAATCGACAAAAACGATTTTTAAAAAGCTGTCCAGACACCCATTTCCAGGACGGCATAGGAAACAGGGGCTCGGAGCTTGCCCTCTGGGTTTCAAATCCCAGATCTGCCCTCCAGCTGGGTGAATCACTCCACCTCTGCACCTTGCCTTTCTTGTGGATAAACGGATGGTAACAATGCTCTCCTCATGGGGCTGTTGTAGAGTCTAGATGAAATGACATGCAGTGAGCACAGAGTTAAATGCCACACAAACTCCGGCAGGCTCCAGCTACCTTCTGGCGTTCTTTGCTGAGGTCCCCCATATAAACCCCACTGGGTGCACCTGATGGGAATTAGGAGTCATTTAATTGGGTTGGAGGCACTTTTTCACTCACTTGCTTGGAAACCTTAATGACATGTGAACTAGGCCCTTCTGATGCTGAAGGCAATTTCAGCTTCTAGCAGATTCTTAAAAATTGCCTGCTTCGATTACAGTTCAGGTACTGACTGCAGCCCACATGAACACACACATCAGAAGGAGCAACTCCAATGCTAAATTATTTGCAAAGAAAAAATTTGGCCTGAGCCACCCAGGACTCCGTTGCTTAAAACACTGACCTCCCTCCAGAGCCCCCATGCCAAACAACAGAAGGAGGAGGGTAAAAACTCAACTGCAGGAATCTAACTTTCTTTTGCATCTGCCGGCAGGCCAGCCCTGAGACATGCCCCTGTGAGGCCTAGTGGCCCACCACACACCGGGAACAGAAGCTTGGCAGGCCACAGTCCCCCTCCAAGGCTATGACTCCGGTGACCGGGGAGGAGACAGTAAACACGGGTAAGACCCATGCAGGCCGACTCAGAAATTCTCCACTGGGCTACAGAAGCAGGGCTGTGAGGGCAGCCACTCCCCACCCAGGTGGCTGGGATTCTGCTTCCCAGAACAATGCTGCCACCTTTGGGAAGCTGGACACCAGACAAAATCAGTTAGGAGAGGAGCCCTGTGTAGACAAAGGGGAAGCTAATTATGGGGAGAAAGGGATTGTTCATTTGACTTTTTGCAAAGCAACCTCAGAGGGATTTTTTTCCCACCCCCTTCTCCTAGTGAACACCACCAGGCCCCAAGCAGTGCCAAGATGCAGAGCAGTCCGTGGGAGCCAGAACCTGGCCGTGGCCCTCCTCAGAGCAGAAGTCTCTGTGCGCTGGGACTACCCTGGGGCCACCAAGGAAGAAAACCACCATATTTCAGTGTCATTCATTTACATTTATAATCCTGCATATTTCACGTACGCATTTAAAGAAGTCTATGGGTTCTTTCAGACTGCTACAGGGGTTCAAGGGGAAAAAAGTTTAAAACCCTAATTTAGGGGTTTCATAAATGAGGAACAAGGAGGCCCAGGAAAGTTGAAGACAGTAACCTTTTTTTTTTTTAATTTTATTTATTTATTTGACAGAGAGATTGAGAGAGAGAGAGGGAACACAAGCAGGGGGAGCAGCAGGCAGAGGGACAGGGAGCCCAGTGCAGGGCTTGATCCCAGGACTCCGGGATCATGACCTGAGCCGAAGGCAGACGCTTAACCAACTGAGCCACCCAGGTGCCCGAAGACAGTAACCTTTCTTAAAGCTCCACCCAGCCACGGCAGACCCACCGTGGCTGTCTTGCTCCTCTGGGGGAGGGCACTGTCTGGCTGTACCAGGAATGTGACCTTCACCTGTAGTGAAATCTTGTACTACTAGGTCCATTCCCACATGTAAATATCTTGCCTGTCTAGCTAGACCCATGGCTGGGGCTGGAAGTGGGGATTATGCCCAAGCCCTCCAGGAATCCTCTTCAGAATCTCTCTGCCTGCTCGTCCTCCCTGACCCCATTGCCTGATGGCTGCAGCCATGTGCCCTTAGAAAATCTTCCCCACACTGTCCTGATTAGCTCCACCTCCCTGGGCCCTGTTAAGAGCAATTGAACAACATGGACAGAATGTCTTCAGAAAGAGACAGAAGACACTATTCACAGTAGTTACCTCTTGAGCAGGGAACTAGATAGCTAGAAGATCAGAGGAGGAGACTCTTTACCTTTTCTCTTTTGATTGTTGACATTTAAACCATGTGAACATATCGATTATTCAAAAAAATTTATTTTTAGAAGCACGTGGGTATCTCAGTTAAGCGTCTGCCTTTAGCTCAGGTCATGCTCCCCACCTTGGGCTCCCTTTTTCAAATAAATAAAATCTTTTAATAAAATTTATTATTAAAAAAAGACCTCTGGACAAACTGTAAGCTCCTGGAGAATGGAGAACCCTGCTCCTTTTATTGGTCTCTATGCCTGTACTTTCCACCTAGGCGATGGATAAATGAATAACTTATTATATAAATTCTAAAAGGCATGGTTGGAATAAATCTCCCTCCCCTACCAGGACTAAATCATGAAGAAATAGAAAATCTGAACACACCTATTACGAGTAAGGAGATTGAATCAGTATTAAAACCCTCCCAACAAACAAAAGCCCAGGACCAGACAGCTTCCATGGTGAACTCCACCAAATATTCAAAAAACAATTAATTAATCCTTCTCAAAAATGCTTCCAGAAAAATAGAAGAGGAGGTGATGCTTCCAAACTCCTTTTATGAGACCAGCATTACCCTGATGATACAAAAACCAGACAAGGAGGCCACAAAAAAAGTGAGTTACAGGCCAATATCCCTGACTAACGCAGACAAAAAATCCTCAACAAAATATAAGCAAGTCAAATTCAACAATGTATTAAAAGGAGAATATACCATGATCAAATGGGATTTATTCCAGGGATTCAAAGCTGGTTCAACATCTGCAAATCAATCAGTATGCTCTACGATATTAATAAAATGAAGGATAAAAATCATATGACCATCTCAATAGATGCAGAAAAAGCAGAAAAGTCAACATCCATTTATGATAAAAACTCTCAACAAAGTAGGTATAGAGGGAACATACCTCAATATAAGGCCACGTATAGCAAGCCCACAGCTAACATCATACTCAACAGTGAAAATGTGAAAGGTTTTCCTGTAAGATCAGAACAAGACAAGGATGCCCACTCTCACCACTTTTATTCAACATAGTATTGGAAGTCCTAGCTGGACTTCGACAAAAAAAGGAGATAAGGGGCACCTGGGTGGCTCAGTTGGTTAAGCGTCTGCCTTCGGCTCAGGTCATGATCCCAGGGTCCTGGGATAGAGTCCCACATCTGGCTCCCTGCTCAGCCAGGAGCCTGCTTCTCCCTCTCCTCCCCACTTTCTCTCTGTCACAATTTCTG